CACAGGATCCAGGGGGGAGCCCCTCTCTGTCTGGCTTGCAGAAGGGTCCCCCCGGCACCACCTGCGGGAGGGGGCCAGTCTGTGCATCTGGAACGTGAGCCGGGCCGATGCAGGACCGTACCGGGCACGGTGCCAGAACCCCGAGGGGCAGAACGAGACCCTCCTCCACCTGGACGTGCACTGTGAGTGCCAGTCCCACCCCCGCCCCCCCACTGCCCCTCTCTCAGCGCCCCTCTGAGCCCTGCCCTCTGCCCCAGACGCGCCCTCCATCCGCAGCCTGGGCGACCCCGTCTCCGTGGACCTGGGCGCCACAGCTGAGCTGGTCTGCGTGGCCGATGCCAACCCTGCCCCCGCAGGCATGTTCCAGTGGACCTGGCTGGTAAGGGGGCAGCAACCTTTGACCTGCACGGGCCCCGTGCCCCACTCGTGACCTTTGCGCCTGCTCAGGCCAGTCTGACCGGGGCTCATTCCCCTCCCAGGTGTCCTGGCCCTTGCCCGCTGACCTTTGCCCTTCCTCGGCTGGTCTCTGTGCTGAACTCTGACCTTTGACATCTCATGTGACCTTTGCCCCCCTGGCATTTGGATGTATCTTGGACCTTTGACCTTATGTATCCAGCTCTGGTCCTTGCCCTCCAAGCTGTGACCTTTGCACCTTCCCATCCCTGGCTCGGGACCTTTCAGGTGCATGGTCACCATCCGGCCGCGTTCCTCCCATGCAGTGCTCGGGCGGCCTGTGACCCAGGCTGACCTTCACCCGCGCGTATTTCACTTCTGCACTGAACTCTGACCCTTGACAGCTCCGATGTGACCTTTCTCCCTCCCCCAGACCCTCTGATTGTGTCACGTTTAGCCTTGATGGACTCTGCCCCCACTTTGACCTTTGATCCTCTTCTGACCTTTCATTTTTCTCTAACCTTTAACATTTGCTGTTGCCTGCCCAGCCCCTGGCCCCCCGCTGTGGCCTGTGAGCCGCGCAAATATCAGGGTGACCTTTGCCCTCCCTGGGTGCCCCCCACCTGCTGACCCTGCCTTTCCTGCAGGGGATGGAAGAGCGCAGCCTGCAGCAGCTGGAGCTGGAGATCCCGGTGGCTCGGCGGGCTCAGGCCGGGCTGTACGAGTGCCGTGTGGACAACGGGGTGCCGCCCCCTGCCCGGGGCAGTGCCCGCCTCATCGTGCGCTGTGAGTGCCCCACGCAGACCTTCCCACCGAGAACCCCACCCTGGAGCCCTCCAACCCCAGAGACCCTCACCCCGAGCATCTCCTCACCTCTGCTCCTCCCCTTCCCAACATCCGCCCCAAGGTCCCATCCTGGTCCCCCCACACTGGGGAGCCTTCTCACAAACTGTCTCTTCATCTCAGACTCCCTGATGCCCTCTGGAGCCCCCACCTGGGAACCCCCTCTCCAGGGAGCTGCCCCCCAACAGTGATGCAGATCCTATGTGGCCTTTGCCCATCCCCCTCTGATACTGCTCTGCCCCTCCCGGAGCCCCCCGACTCTCTGCCCCTCAGTCTCTAGACTGCCCCCCTCTCTCCCTCCAGTCAAGCCAGAGCTCGAGAAGGGAGTGGGGCTGGGGAAAGTGGCCGTGCCCGGGGACAGGAGCTCGCCTGCCTCCCTGCAGTGTCGCGCCCAGGGGGTGCCCAGCGTGCAGTTCAGCTGGGCCAAGAACGGGGCAGCCCTGCCACCCGACAACCCCAGGTAGGGGAGCCCTACGCTGGCGGGGGGGGAGGGGACGCCATAACCCCCTAACCTGGGTATGCAGCCAGAATGGCCTGAGCCAGGTGGGGGTGATAAGCCCTGAGCCTGGCTGTGCTGCCCCCACCTGGCCCCTCCTTTCCCAGCTCCGCGGCACCGGCACTGCCAGGGCACAGCTGGGCATCGCTTCCAAAGCCGGGCCTGGTGGCCGGCCGGCCCTCTGCAGGCCTGGGGCACCCATGTGGGGCAGCCAGACCACAAGCGCAGAAACCTGGGACAGGCTTTTCCGGGGGAGGGGAGTGCGATTCCTTATCTAAGACAAAGCCCCTGGTATGGGGATATCCAGTCGTCCCAGCCCCACATCCTCTGCCAGACAGAGCTGCCCTCTCTGTTGGACCCCCAGCCGGCGGCAGGAGAGGCAGGTGCTGGGGGGGTGAGAATCACCTTAGCCGGCTCCAATGCCACTCGCTGTTGGTGTCACTGCCTGGCCCCCACCACGGGCCTGCTCTCTGCAGCCACAAGCCGGGGAATTTGCATCCAGCTTGCTGAGACGTGGGGAAGGGGGGATTTTCCGGCAAGGTGCAGGGCTGTCCGGGGCTCAGCTAGGCTGTAACTTTTGGAATCTCGAATCGAGGCTCCCATCCCCCCCCCCTGCCATTCCCCACAACCACGAAAACATCAGCTGTTCCAATAGCCCCAGAGTGATTCCCAATAAACATGGGGACACGGACACACACACCCCTTGGCAGCCCCTGGGGAGTGATGCAGAGAGGGAAACTGAGGCAAGCAGCACCTTCGTTAAAACGTCACAGAAAATGCCAGCATTGGCACAGAAATGACAGGGTAGGATTCCAGTGTGTCCCCTGTTGCCTGGATACAGGGCACCCCAGTGACCCCAAACTGAGACCCCCCACCCCAGACAAGTGCCTTCCCACAGCCCCTCCCCACCCTGTCCTGATCAAACCCTTGTTCTGGTCCCGTCCTGGTCCTTATTCAGCCCCTGAGCCTGGTTCTGATTCAGCGTGTGGGTCATAAGAACAGCCAGGCTGGGTCAGACCAAAGGTCCATCTAGCCCAGTGTCCTGTCTGCCCACAGTGGCCAATGCCAGATGCTCCAGAGGGAGGGGTCACCCCAGGTAATCCTCACCCACCTCCAAACAAACAGAGGTCAGGGACACCATTCCTACCCATGCTGGCTAATCGCCATTGATGGTCCTAACCTCCATGAATCTATCTAGCTCTTTTTTGAACCCTGTTAAAGTCCTAGCCTTCACCGCATCCTCTGGCAAGGAGTTCCACAGGTACAGCATCTGGGCCTGGACCTGTTCTGATTCAGCACCTGGGTCCGGGCTGGTTTTGACAGTGTCCTGCCCCAGGTACACGGAGCACACGTGGCACGAGGGCGCCTGGCACAGCAGCACCCTGACCATTGCCAACGTGAGCGCGGTGCACGACTACGCCACCTTCACCTGCCGTGCCAGCAATGCGCTGGGCACCGACACCCTCGACATTCAGCTCCTCAGCACCAGCAGGGCCAGGGCTGTGGTCAGGAGTGAGGGGCACCGGCAGAGCTGGGGGGGCATGGGCTGTGGGTCGGGAGTGAGGGGCACTGGCAGAGTTGGGGGGGCATGGGCTGTGGGTCGGGAGTGAGGGGCACCGGCAGAGCTGGGGGGGTATGGGCTGTGGGTCGGGAGGGGAGGTCCGGGGAGCGGCGGGGGGGGAAGG